CCCACCTGTTGTCCTTGTCTCTCGTCGGATCCTTGTCATTGTTGTCTATTGTCTACGTAGGTCACACGCTGTCTTGCTCTCCGGTTGTACTGCTAAGTCCTGGATTGTGTTTTGCTCGTATGTTAGTTCCGTTAATCTGTTGCTACCGGCATTTTAGCTCTGCGCTAGTTTGTCTGCCGTGTTGCCTGTACCTGGACTACTCTGAGCAATATCTTAATTAAAACCATCTCATTCATCTACATCCTGGGTCCACCTGCGTTCTTCCTCACCACCTCACCACTCATTATGATAGTTTGTCTCCAAGAAACATGATTTCTTTCACACCAAACGCACATTTATTTTTATTGAGCTTCAGTTCATTTTTTCATATGCGCTCCATGACGTGTCTCAATCTGTCATTGTGTTCTTGAGCTGTTGATCCCCAAATGATGATGTCATTAATAGCCCTTTTTGCACTGCAGGGTCCGGCCTTGCCCAGCCCGGCTCAAATATTGCTTTGTGCATTCAATGTCCAACCTAGTTTGCCTTGCATTCAATTGAACTTTTATTCTGAATTTGCCATGCTCAAGTTGCAACATCAACTCTCTTTGTTCCTCAGATCTCACATTGAGCGTTAAAGTAATAGGATTAAGTGCACTTGGTTCAAAAGTTGATCATTGCAAAACTTTTTTGAACAAATTTGTAAGTGAAATAGCCTTCAAGTTCTCTTTCTAACAGAGACCGTCAATCTCTAAATCGCAGTCCTTACCTTTTTTTTTCAAATAATTACTCTTTAGTGCAATTAGATAAGAATGGAAAAAACTTAGGATGCCTCAGAACAATTAAAAGTAAAGGACAGATCCCTCTATTTAAAGAGTGGATATTGTAGATAATAGAATATCTAGGTTGGGAATTTAATATTTAATTGGGAACTATTGCAGTTAAAAATTAATGCATAACATGATGAAAAGATGACATTGAAAAATTAACCACTTTTTCTCAATGACTAGCTAAATTAACCAATATAATGTATAATGTAACAAATGGAACCCCAAAGATTTCTGTTATATTCACAGAATGAAACTGAATATAACAGTTTTGCATTTACCAATACAGCCATTGTCCAGGCTGATCCTGCCAACAACACCAAGATATATGAAGTCATCATATATGATCCAGTTACTTACTGTTGCTAATAAGCATGATGATGTGCTGCTGTCCATCCAGAGAGGTTACTTTGTCAACAACGATTCTGGAGAACTGGGCTGCAGACCAGACCAGCAGGGGCCTCCCAGTGATCGGGGTCACCGCTCCCTCCATCAGAGGGTGGTTCTTCGCAAACAGAAGGACATTTTCTGGGATGTTGAAAGAGGTCTTCACACCGTTGGCTCGCATTTCATCATTAATACACTGATAATACACATCAGAGATCATGTGAGGTGGATCATTTTCATTACTTCTATTTCATATCAGTTTAGGTTTGGTGCTTACTGAACGAGGGTAGGCGAAGTTCTCTTTTCCCATGTACTTCACCCAACCTCCAGGAATTATCTCATCCAGAAGGTTCCCCCTGAAAACTTGCTGGATGTCTGACACCTTATAGGCACAGACAGCAGACTGACTGCAGGTACTAGATGGCTCCCTGTGAATTGAGGTCTTGTTAATTCCAGTTCAGAAACAATTTTTTGTAATATGGGGGAATGTCACGTACTGGAAAAGGTTCTCAAATAAAATGCAAAATCTACATTTTTTAAAACTGGTGATGGGAAAGTGATAGTGGAGGACGATTTCCTGAGCTTCATTGTTACAAAAATGAGAACTTTGTCTCAGGATGAAATTGTTTTATTAGCCTCAAACAAGTTCTCCTCTGAGTGGATTGAGGAGTCAAAGCGCCAATTGTTTGAATTATGCCCAACGTAGATTAATTGCATCAAACACAAAGGCCCTCAAAAGGATGTTAACATTGTTAACAGGATTGCCTCAGGGTGCTTAAGTGTGGTGAAAACATTCCAAGATTTGTTTTGCATTATCTGGATGTACTTCCACCAGTTGGTTTTGGGAACATGGATGCCTCTGCCCTACTCAGTAGGGTGGAGCAGGTGAGCCTGGAGGTGTCTTGCTTAAGGACGATCTTGGAAACTCAGGCCTCTGTGAATGAGAACCTGGAAGCAGTAGCGACAACTTTGGATCGCTGAATGACTGCAGTCGAGAAGTGTGACTCGCCTGGTCAAGCGCACTGGACCAGTGTAGTATGAGCGTATTATGAGGAAGCATCACAGGCACTAAGGACATCTGCTCACCTCTCGCAAGTCCAGCTGTTGGAGGACCTGCCGAAATCCCGCCCTGGACCAAAGTGGTAAAGAAAAGGATAGGAAAGCCTCAGAAAGATCAAAACAAAGCTGTAAACCCCAGGAGCCAGAAGATGGCAATAACTGGCACCAGCACGGATATCATCCTGGTGGTCAAAACTAGGGTGATGAGTGTTTTTGTGTCATGATTTGCACCTAATCTTGACACTGACACCATACGCTCTTATCTGGCTGATAAACTGGGGAAGCCGGTGACATGTCGCAAAATCGATTCCACTCAGAAAAGGTTCCACTCGTTTCATGTGTGTTCAAGAGACTTTGCTACTGAAGCAAGACTTGAAAGAATTTCTTGCTTAAAGACTTCTATGATGTGGGTGAATCTACCACTGATGAGTGATGGAATAGTTTATGGTAGAATACCTGCTGGTGTTGCTATCTTATGGCATAAAAGTATGATCAGCTGGTTAAGTTGGTCAGATTAAACATTGACTGGGCCATTGGAATTGAGTTTAGTGATGGTGATCAGAAGGTCATAATTCTCAATATATACACATCTTATGAATTTCACAGGAATGAAGATGAATATCTTCATGAAGGTTATCTTATGTCTGTTATCCAGGAAAATGCTACCATTTGTTTTTTAATTGTGGGCGACATGAATGCAGATATTTCTAATAAAAGTTCAATATTTGTGAATAATTTGATGCAGTTCTGCCTTGATAATAGTTCTATCTAGTAAGGTGTTTCTACTTGAGGACAGCTTCACATATGTTAGTGAAGCATAGGGTACAACCTCATGGCTAGATTGCTGTATTAGTACAGCCTCATGGCTAGATTGCTGTATTAGTACAGCTGCTGTTCAGTCTGCTTGCAGACTGAACAGCAGGTAGATTAGATCAATCTTGTGTTAGATCAATCTAGTGTTGGAAAACTAGATTGATCTAATTTGACTGAGAAGGACCTGGATTTATATTTAGCTCACTCTGACACTTTGCTGAGTAACACTGAGCTGCCATAGGATGCTGTACCATGTTGTGATATTAACTGTAAAGACCCACTACATGTTGTGCAACTTGTATGAAAGTATTGTGAAGTCTCTTCATGTCTCCAGTAGGGGATTGTGTAAGACAAAGCTGCACAAAGCAAAACCAGGATGGAATGAGCAGCAGCTTCATGCTAAGGCCAGGTGGGCCTTTAAGGCTGGGGTTAACAGAAGATGATCTTTGGGTATAAGAAATGGGCAAATCGAAATTTTAAATATGCCCTATGTTTTATTAAAAGAAATTAGAATACAATTAGGTCTCATTTGCTTGCAAGAAAAATGCAAAACAACTCCACACATGATTTCTGGAAGGAAATAAAGAATATTAATAATTATAAAACAGTTCTGCCAACTAATAATGGCATAAATGGACCAGAGGAAATTATTCACATGTGGCAGAAGCATTATTAACTATTTAATAGTAGTACTGTTTGCTTATGGCAAACAGTACTACTCACGATGAAGATGTGAAAGTTTTATTTCAAGAAATTTATAATGCAGTCATGATCCTAAAGAACAATAAGGCCTGTGGTGTAGATGAGATGTCTGCAGAGCACTTCAAATGTTCAAGCAGAAAACTCTTTGCTTTCTCTGTGTTTTACTGGGTTTTTAATCAATGGCAGATAATAAGGTTGCTGCTGCCAAAGGAGATTCCTCTGCAGGTGCACATTCAGGGGTTATTCTTAGTTTTTCCACACAACTTCATATGATTTAAATAATGACTGTTTTTCTGAACATGTTTTATAAGAAACTAATAGAAACAATATAATTTTTATCACTGAGTATGTACACTCTTTGTACTTTCATATATGTCTTTTAGTTTTAGTAATGGCAGCAGAGGAAATGAAGGAAGCCGTTTGGTCCTGGTTGACCATGCCACTAGGAAGCAGTTGTTTCTACTGAGAGTCCAGACTCTCTCTAGTAGCATTATGCCCAGGTATTTCAGCTTTATAGGTTTAATTTTCTTTCAAATATTTCAGATGTACTCTACAGAAAAATCGTTGATTAGGCAAATTTTCTACAAATACCTCAGAATCAACGGGGGTCTTTTACTCTAACTTTGTGGCAACTGAACAATCGGAATGAATTTATTTTAATCGCTGTACAGTCACAAAGCTACTACATATGACGAGGTTAAAAAATCCTGAACTCCGCACCTTGGAACATAACTTACGGGCTAGAGGCGAATGTTGCATAGAAGAGGCTCTCTGTCGCATTATTTTTATCTTTGAGAAGAAAGACGTCCTGCACCAGAGAAAGTGAACCTGTGTCTCCAAACGGGCAGTCCAGACGGGCTTTCAGGAAAGAAGTCCACTTTTTCTCTGAAATTGTGAAGCCTCCCAAGTCGCTCTGAATCACAACAAATGTCACACGTTAAAGCTGCAGTATGTAATTTTTATAAAAATGTTTTTACAGATAATCTGTATCTTGAATGAGCTGCTGCATCCTTTCTTTTAAGGATGGAGCTTAAAAAAATCCAAACTCCTCCAATTCTGCCAATGCTCCCATTGCTAACTCAAAACAACTACTCGGAGCCAGGAAGAGGGTCTTAGCGCTTTCAGTCACCCCTCTGTGTGGCACTGCAAAGCCCACCCTCTCTCCTTGCTCTCTGATGTGCTGCAGCTAGCAGTGCTGCAGCTGAGCTAGTTAGCCCATGTGCTAGTTAGCATGGAGATAGATAATGAGCATGTGAATGAGGATGATTGGCAACGCTAAGACCTTCCTCTAGGCTCCAATTGGTTGTTTTGGGTCTGGATGGTTCAGGAAAGGTTAATTTCTTCAGATAACAATAGTAGCACAGGAAAGAGGTGGAGCAGATCCATCTTTTCACAGCTTATCCTTCTCATACATACTGTCACGACATGACAATTTTAAGAAATATGTAAAAAAAAAAACTTACTTTACACACTCGTGCAATTCTCGACAAACGCAGGTTGCTGCGTCGTTCCTCCACAGCAGTCTCAGTGAAGAACACGAACAAATTGTCATCGTCTTTGTTCTTTGAACTTTTTCTGATTTCAGCAACATTTATGGAAATCATGATGGGGTCTGAGTTCATAACATTTAAAATTATGGGGTTATGTTATACAGGATAGAATTTGAAGTAAAAGAACTTTAACAGGGTCGAGCAGTTAGCTTACCGTTGAACCAAGATGCTTTGTCTTCAGTAGAGAGATAATTGCGTCCGGTTTTCAGGAAAATATTTCTTTTCCCCATGAAGTCTACAGAAACAGCCGAATATAATGTGTTTTCTGTTGTGAGCAGAGGAAAAAGTTTTACAATTTCTGAAACTGATCATTACAAAAACATTCCTTCAGCGTGGGTGGGATTAACTGAAACAATGAACCTGCAGCTGTTTAGTACCAGAGAAAAAACTGATAACAGTGACAGGTGAGAATCTGCCTTTGTCTTGAACTGGATGTGGTGAGGAAGTCCTCTGTTTGTCAAAGCCAGGTTGAGACAGAGCTTCAAAATGTGAGCAAGAGAGGAAAGGAATTAAACTCAAATAGGATTTTTAGCAGCTGATTAAAAAGTTTAAAACCTAAAAAGTCAGGGGGCATTCAAAGGACAGCAGGGGGCGCTGGCAGAAAAATTTATGATTCCTTTGGGAGGCGTTTGATCGATGGTAAACTTTACATCTCATATGCACATCTGTTGAGACTTTGAGCTACTTCCTAAAACTGAAAATATGACTGAAAAATGTTTTCCAATTTATTGCTGTTTTTACCTAATTATCTCTTACTTTCTGTTTAACTTTACAAACAACATCCCATAGTTTATCACAAGGTTGATAAACTTGTGGTGATCTAATTAACAGCCTTACAATTTTAAGTTTAAAAGTTGCTTTGAGTATCTGATCAACTCCATTTATTGTCTCTTGCTCCCGTTTCCTCTGTTTTTCATCTGGTTACAATCCTGCAGTTCATAGTCCAAATAGTGTTAACTTTCTAAAGCATCAAGAAGAGAGCGAGATCTCAGAGAAATAGGAGAAGTGCAAGTTCACTGGTTGATGTTTTATGCAGGTCAGAACAAATGTATGACTATGAAGATGTGGGAGAACAACTAAATATTTCATATGATGAAGATTCTCGATGCACACCTACTGTTTGGACAAGAACTTAAATAATGAATCCAGGTAAGGAAACATTAAGATCCAGAGCTAAACACTGAGAGACATGAGAGAAAGTGTTGCACCAACCATTCATCATTGTGGCAAACTCTTCATGGGGATTAAAGGGAGCTCTCCCCCTGCCATCCTGAGTTGTGGTTTCCATGGTGACATTTCCTCCTTTGAATAACTGAAGAAACATTAAATAATTTATAATTATTTAGAAATGATGCTACTTATTATTCCATGCATCTGCTTTAATTCTGATGGTTGAATCAGAAAACAAGTACAACACTTTAATATCTCTGTACCTTTAATGCCATTATTTTATTACAATAAACAAAACTCTGCCAACACAATAAAAACCCAGCGCATCACCTAAGCTGATGTTTCTGGAGTTGTAACTCCAGCCTTAAGTCTTGCGTATATGTAAACAAGCACTGTATATTTTTGTAATTGATTAAGAAAAATGTGTGTCCACATGACATGATGCAGCATCATAGAAAAGGGTGTAGTAAGTATGCCTGGGCAATTGGCCAATTAGGTGTCGCTATGTAGTAGTGGTATGGTAAAACTGGAATCCCAGTGCTGCTTCATGATTTAAAATGACATTGCGCCACTTGGATATGTGTTGGGTTCCCCTCGCATGTGTGTATATATATCCCGCTCAAACGCATATGAGGTATAGAGCAAGACATTGGAGCAAAGGTTTCTATTTGGTGCAATGACCAAACGGAAGCTGGCATTCTGAAATGTGGAACATGGTTTCAAAAATCATTGTTTCTGGTTTCCCAAGAGACTAAATTTGTGTGGATCCACTGCCTAAGTGACAAAACACTTTTGCCTTTGTGTCGATGGGGCCTTAGTTATGAGAGGAACGTACCAGGTGTGTGCAGAGAGGTTTGAATGCACGGGTTCCACACGTAAAGATTCTGCCATCATTCAGAGTGTGCAGCGTTGTGATGTAGTTTTCACAGTCCTGTTAGAAGAACAGCTATTTCTCCAAACAGAACATTTTAAGTTCATTCACATATTTCCTCATGTGAATGTGCTGCAATGTACCTCAATGCTCTTGCCTTTAACTATACACTCAGATTTTTCTCCAGAGCTCACCATCCATTCAGTCTGAAACCAAACAGACCACGAGGTTAATTTGTTTGCTCTATTCAGTTGTGAAGTCTAATTTTTTAAGTCATGTTTGAAATATATACAACATTTTTAAAACAACTGAAGTACATAATTACTTAATTGTGCTATAAAATGGTACTATGTGGCTGGAAAGCACATAAACCCGCCCCCTTAAAAGTGTTGACATTACAGTGCATTTAGCTTTATGGATAGCAGTGAATGAGTAACTCCAAAATCCCTGAAGCTGTTATGGAGATATCAATTTTGACCCTATAAGTTCTCCTATGAACAAACTATATAAATATCAAGAAATAGTCAACATTTCATTTTCTATTAGGAATCTAAACTTTTTTTCTCTAATTATTAAGTATGATGGAGATATTCACAGTTAATTGATGTGCTAACTGGCACTAAGATGTTTGTTATTGTATCACTTGCATAATTTTTAAGTGTTTGCATGATTTTTTTCTGTTATAACAGGATTAATAACTCATTTTACCAACAGCACCCTACAGTATCCCTAAGTATTGTGTGTACTGTCCAGGTTCACCACCCCATTCCACCCAGACCCAGTTCCTACCTCGCTGGTCTTCTCAGTGATGTCATCCAAACTGAGCGTGATGACCTTTCCTCTGGCTCCGATGAAGAGCAGACCGATGTCTTCTCTCACCAGCATGGAGCTCAAACCGTCAAAGTCAGGCTCCTTAAACAGCTTCAGGTTAACATCTGAGGGAAAGAATCCAACCGGCATCCTCAGGTTACTTTTGAAATCAGAGCATTTTCATATTTACCTTAGTGTGATGTAACTGTATGCCATTCTTAATGTTTTTGACATTGACACTTGTGGACTCTGTTTATTAATTAGGAAACTTCTGAGTTCAGTTTAGTCCCTATATTTCACTTTGAGATTAGAATGAAAGAAGTAGAAAATATCTCAGTCGACAGACTGAATACTTCTGCACTGGTCTGGGCATTTCAGTGCTGCTGCAGAGATGCTCACCTGAGAAGGAAACGCTCCGACGGGGTTTCAGGCTTTGGGCTGATCCTTCACTCATAATGATCAGGACATAAAGGAGCGCTACCTGGCTCTTCATCATAACCTCAGACAGGAAGGAAAGAAAAAACACATTTCTATAGCAGTTGTTATGGAAACAGCAGTTTATTTCCTGGTTAATAATTACATGTCACAGATTCTGTCAGCTGTAGCTTCAGAGAAACATAATCATAAATTATGAGTTTCCATTAAATCAGGTCAAGTTTATTTGTGTAGCACATTTCATCAACAAGGGAGTTCAAATACCTTTCCATCATAAAAACATCAATTATGAAAAAAACAAACATTACATTTTGTTAAATGTCATTAAGCTCATCAAGCAAATGTATATGCACATAAAATATCAATGGTCAATGTTCCAAGTATGATTCAAAAGCAGCTCTAACAAGGTGGGATTGTAGCCTTTACTTAAAGGAACTCAGTGTTTCAGCTGTTTTGCAGTTTTCTGGAAGTTTGTTCCAGATTTATGTTGCATAGAAGCTGAATGCTCCTTTCCCATGTTTGGTTCTGGTTCTGGATGCAGAGCAGAACCAGAACCAA